GGGACCTCGAGCCCCCCGCGGAGGAGCCCACCCCCACCTACCCCCTCGATTTTGAGAAGTTTTGGCAGGCGGCACGCAGCAACCCCCACGACTTCACCGCCTGGACCGAGCTCCTGCAGTACGTCGAGCAAGAGGTAATTAAAATCGCTCTTAAAGCTCAATGGCCTCATTAAAACGTTAATTAAAACTCGCCCCGATACCCTAGCCCCGTTAAAACCTTCGTTAAACGTCGCCCTGAGCCGCCGGCCCCATTAAAACCTTCGTTAAACGTCACCCTGAGCTGCCGGCCCCGTTAAAACCTTCGTTAAAGCTCAGCCTGAGCTACCGGCCCTGTTAAAACCTTCGTTAAAGCTCAGCCTGAGCCACCAGCCTCGTTAAAACCCTAATTAAAACTCACCCTGGCACAAACCACGTGGAATCCACCACCCCGGGGCCGGTTTTCATCGCAATGGAGTTAATTTTTGCTGCGTAATTATTAATCTCGACTAACGCGTGGATCCCTAGAAGACCCCTAATGCTAACCTGCTGTTATTATTGTCACAAAACTGCCTGGTTTTACCCCAAAACCGCCCCCGCAGAACCACCTTTTTGCCGCCCGCAAAGCCTTCGACGCCTTTTTCGCCCACTACCCCTACTGCTACGGCTACTGGAAAAAATACGCTGACATGGAACGTCGCTTCGACTGCAGCCGGGAAACCGAGGAGGTGCGTTATTTTTGGGGTGTCCCCCCCTTTTTTTGGTCTTTTGGGGATCCCCGGGGTGTTCTTTGGGGCTGTCCGCGCCGTTTCTACGCTACTTTTGCCGTCAAAATGCCATTTCCGAATCGTTTTGGGGTGTCGCCGGCTGACTTTTCACCCGTTTCCAGTTCCGCCGGAGGGATTTTGGGTTGTTTCACCCCATTTTTTCATTGGGGCTCCCCGATCTCGCGGCGGGGGGGGACACTCGATGACGCTCGGTGTGTGTGTGTCCCGGCAGGTTTTTGAGCGGGGGCTGCAGTCCATCCCCCTCAGCATGGATCTATGGATTCATTACATCTCCTACCTCCAATCCACCCTGGACATGAATCTTCCCGAATCCATCCAAAAAATCCGCGGGTAAGTCACCGCGTGAAACCGTAAACGCTTCCCGCCGTCGTTAATCTTTCCCGCTTTCTCCTTTATTTCTTTTATTTTATTTTTTTTCCTTTTCCTTTAGCGTTTTTGAAGCGGCAGTAGCGGCAGCTGGGATGGATTTCCGTTCAGATAAATTATGGGAACTCTACGTGGAATGGGAAAAGGAACAGGGGGATTTACGAGCCGTCACCGGTATCTACGACCGCGTCCTCTCCATGCCCACGCAACTCTACAACCATCACTGGGAGAAGTACGTACCCCGTTCCGCCTCGGAAAATACCGCCGCGGACGCAGAATATTCCACACACACACCCCAAAAAAACCCCTGAATATCCCCGTGGGAAATAAATCCCTGTGTTAAAACATCCCGGTGGTTAAATTTCCCCGTAGAAAACATCCGCAGCGGTAAAAAAATCCCTACGGAAAACACCGTGACGTGCCGGGGAAGCTTCCCCGGTCCTCCGCCACGGCCGAATCGTGACCGTTCCGTGTCCCAGTGGCGCGGCCGCCCACGCTTCCTAT